ATCGGATAGAAATGTAACTAGTAGATTAAAATTTTGGCTGTATGCATTATATTTGTGTTTTACTACCAAAGCAAGAAAAAATCTGTAAGGGTTTTATCCTGAACACGGGTGATATTTAGCTCCCTTCTGGACTTTGATGTCACTAAAGAACATTACCTGTACATAGCTTTGCAGCATAAACAACTCCATGGGATATGGCTGGGATATTTCAGCTGTTTCAGTGATGGAAACCACATGCCTGTTTGTGTCCTGCCTCTGCTGTGTGATTGTTGGTTCCTACATCCAAGAGCTTGTCTGTATTTGAGTGCAGTCACAGGGATTTTTGGTTGTACCTGTAGCTTCCTTTAGAATGCAGCAGGGCTGGTTCATAAGTCCAGGTGTGTACCCTAGTGCTCATGCAAAAACTTCCCAGGAAGCGGGAAAAAGTGGTACCAAGAGAAATTGCTGTTACAGTGGTGACTGTGTTCTCAGTCAGTTGCATGCTTTTCCTTTGAAGTCATCAGGAATGAGAAGAAAGGTGGCAGAGACAGCAAATCCAGCTTTTATTCTGTGGTGGTATTTGTCATCCAAACCGTAATCAAGAAAAAATGGTTCTTGCTTAAAAAAAAAAAATAAAAAAAAAATTATGAGATAGTGTTCAATATGCTCATTTCTAGGAAGTCTTTTTTTATAAGCCCAAGTTTTTTGGCTTTCACACTGCTACTGTCCTGATTTAATTCAATTATGTTCCTTTTAGTTGTGGTTCAGTCAGTTTCTTTCGATGGACAGTATTTCAGTTTTAAGATGCTCGCTGTTCTACTATGTCAGTAAGGGTAATGAAATAATGTTGTACTTTATAAAGGATAAATTGAATGATTTTTGAAGAGGTGGCTGTAATATAACTTTGTATGACTTTTTAAAAGTTTTTGTTTTCCATTTAATCATTATTTATTATGCTTCATCAGATTCTGCAGTTGAATTTCTTGTAGACAGTTGGCAAAATATAGCATATGTCTGTATTAAAAATGGCAGATTTACACTGTACATTTACATTTGGAGAGCAGTGAACTAATGGAAATGTTTTTTATTTACTTGTTAAAATGTATTTTTTGTAAAAAATAAAAACAAAACAATATATAAATCTGAGTTTGCAGGATCAAAGCTGGTATGTGATCAAATGCAATGGTTTTGTTTATAAATAAAGACTATGCAGAATAGCCAGTGTTTCGGGTTTATTTTAAGTATTTCGTGTTAAGAGAAAGCTGGCTCGGTCTGGTTTTGAGCCAAAGATGCAAGCACACTTGGTAGGTCCTGACTGAGCCGCAGAGCAGCTCAATGCCTGCCTGCACCTCTTCACATGTTTAGTTACAAGACTGTTTCTCAACTGGGATTTGGGACAAAACTGTGTTTCAGAGTGTGATAAACACATAAATGTTTTGGCTTTTGCAAATCATAGGTGTTGCTATGTGGAGTTTGCAATAACAGAAACAAAGCTTGGCTAAAGACACAAGTTTAGACAAGTGGAAAATGGCCAGAACTCTTGAGCAAAATGGGAGTCACACAGCAAAAGAATTTGTAAAGGTAAAAGAAAAGGGGGGGAGGTGGGGGGCACAGACTTCATATGAGGAAATCTAGTGCCTGGAAAACAGGGTTAAAGTACTTTTAGCTTACCTTAGGTCGAAGGTAAAGAACAATGTTTGTGTTGTAAGTCTGTGGTGAGATGACAGGATTTAGTGGCCCCACTAAACATGAGTGAGTTACTTCACACCATTAGGGCAACTAAGATGATTAAGGGAGTGGAGCATCTCCCTTATGAGGAAAGACTGAGGGAGCTGGGTCTCTACAGTTTGGAGAAGAGGAGATTGAGGGGTGACCTTATTAGTGTATATAAATATATAAAGGGGGAGTGTCACGAGGATGGAGCCAGGCTCTTCTCAGTGGCAAACAATGAAAGGACAAGGGGTAATGGATACAAATTGGAGCACAAGAGGTTCCACTTAAACCTGAGGAACTTCTTCTCAGTGAGGGTGACGGAACAGACAGGCTGCCCAGGGAGGTTGTGGAATCTCCTTCTTTGGAGACATTCAAGACCCGCCTGGACACGTTCCTGTGTAACCTTATCTAGGTGTTCCTGCTCCGGCAGGGGGATTGGACTAGATGATCTTTTGAGGTCCCTTCCAATCTCTAACCTACTGTGATACTGTGATCCTTCTACTTACCAGTTAGTTTGGAGACGGTGCCTCCAGAGCATCTGCTAGCTTGGGATACCCGTCTGCCCGTCCTGTTTAGCTTGCAATAAATTTTGTATGAAGGTCACACTGTTATATAACTTCGCCAGCTATCAGGAAATTACAGATACGGCTGGTTTCAGCTAGTTTTGTGATTACTGGGGCATCCAACTGTGCCACAGGTGAAAAGTACACCACGAGGAAGACTGCTAACTTCATCTTGAAGACCCCTGCCCACATGAGGAAGACTGCTTAGTTCATCCTCAAGACCCCTGCCCATGATCACTGGAGAGCAGTGCACAGGCACCAAGAGGAAACTTATGATAATAAGTTCCTGGAGCTAGTTTTATTACCTGCCTATATGTGGGGATTAAGGATATGTATATAGGTAATGCAATAGTGAAAGTATATAAATCTGTAACAAATGCTAATCAGTGCGCCTCTGGCTACTCTCACGTGCCCAGCACTGTTGCTTTTCATTTATTGACTTTCACCCTCAATAAAACCCTGTTATCTCAATTAGAGGATTGAGTTTGTATTTCACAAAAGCCTTGTTAGAGAGCTGTTGTCCTGGTGCTGAAGCGGAAGTGACAGGAACACAACAGAGTTAGGGGAGGTGGGACCCCCTACTTCTTTAGGCTCTTGGCTCATGTTGACTTGGCTCTCATGAAATTTTACATTTAGGCAAGTTGATTGATTCCCCAGCATGGGAGACTGAGGGCTTTCAGGTATTTTTGTGGGGTTTTGGGGGGCTGAGGCAAACCATTCTTCCCTGACCACTATTTGACTGTCCAATACAGCTGACTAATAGATGGTGGTGTGCAAGGTGGCATTGTGTAAAGGGTTGCACCAGGAGACGCTCTGGGTATGGAAAGCAGTGCTGTTACGATTTGGGGTGTGCATTAACTGAGTTTCAGGCAAGTTCCTGGGCTCAACATTATGGTTTACCTTTGTGTGTCCTGCTCTGCAAGTGAGATTTCAAGTCAAGCACTGATATAAGGAAAGCAAGTGCCTGGAAAACATAGGGTTAAGATACTTTTAACTTAGGTCTAAGATAGAGAACAATGTTTGTGTTGTAAGTCTGTGGTGTGATAACAGAATTTAGTAGTCTTACTAACAAGAGTGAATTATTTCTTTCCATCCTTCTAATGAGTGACCAGCCTTCTAATTATCAGTTAGTTTGGAGACTGTGACTCCTGAACATCTGCTAGCTTGGGATACTCCTTGCCTGCCCTACTCTGTTACTAAGGTCGCACTGTTCTAAATCTTTGCCAGCTATCAGAAACTTGCAGATACAGCTGTTTTGAGCTGATTTGTGATTACTGGGACATCCAACTGTGCCAAAGGTGAAAAGTGCATACTGAGGAAGACTGCTTACTTCGTCTGGAATACCCCTACCCGCATGAGGAAGACTACTTCATCTTGAAGACCCCTGCCCACGACCATCAGAGGGCAGTGCAGAAGAGCCAAAAGGGAGGAGACTTACGATAATGAGTACCTGAAGTAATTGTAATATCCTTGCTGAACTCTCGGGAACCTAATGAATATGCATGTTTGTGTGTAATAAAGATCTGCTTGCTTAACCCCTTGGTGTGCAAGTTAGGAGGAGCGATCCCCCTTGCACTCAGCACTGTAATAAACATACCTGCTTTATTACTCTCTCCGAGTTGCAGAGTTTGCTTCCATGCTTCAGCACTAGGCCTTGCACTGTCTTGGCTTTTAGCCTAGCTGTGTTGAGTGGCAATCCTCGCTGCCTGGGTTTCGAAGGGTGTAATTTCTTTATTATTACTTCACACTGAAAGGTGTGCATTTGAAAGGAACGGCGATTTTGGGGACTGGTTGCCCTTTAACCAGCCTAAATGTAAAAACATCTCGAATACAGCAATGCCGCCCCTGCAGCACACCGGGGTCCGAAACCGGGCCGGTGTGGGGAACACGACATAACCCTGCTGGCCGCGGTTGGGCCGGCTGAGGCACCGCTTTGTAGCCGCCTCCGCCAGGGGGCGCTGCCGCCCGTCTGGTGCTCCTCGCAGCCAGCGGCCAGGAGGCCGCGCGCAGGCGCGGGGCGGGAAAGTGGCGCCAGCGCGGAAGCCCGGTCAGGCAGCAGGGTGCAGCGGGTAGGACTGGGGGTGTGCGGGGTATCCTCCGTCCTCCCCGGCCGTTAGTAGCGGCTGGGGCAGGGGCAGGGGCAGGAAGGGAGCGGGCAGAGAGCTGGGAGTTAGCTTCGGTGCTCGCGGCGCTGGGTCTCGTGTGGCGCTGGGTCTCGTGTGGCGCTGGGTCTCGTGTGGCGCTGGGTCTCGTGTGGCGCATCCTCCTCAGGCATCCGGTATCGCCAGCCCCGGCGGCAGTTTTCCTGCCCAGCTGCCCAGGGAGCGACTGCCAGGCCGCGGAGGTAGGGCTGTGGGCAGCGGCGGCCCTGCCTTCCCGTTGGCCCCCCCACCCGGCGCCTTCCCGCTGTCCCCCCCACCCGGCGCCTTCCCGCCTCTCCGTGATCCTGGCTGCTTGGTGCACCGCTGCTGGCACCGCCGCGGTACTACTCCGAGGGCAGGAGGATGCGCGCAGTGCCCGTCCCGCCTGGGGCTGCCCGGGGCAGGGCGGGCTCGCTCCGGGGCTGAAAGCGGAAAGCTGTGGTGTGTGCCCCCCGTGTGCTTTCATTGTAACTCTGTCCCGCGCTTCTGCCACAATGTTTGATTCCGCGGAGAGACGCGGTTTGTTACTCTCATGCAGTGCTTAGGCAGTAACTGTAGCTGTAATAGATTTTAGCACTTGGAATTATCTTACTTAAATCATCCTGTCAGTTTCCACTGTGAAATTGTCACGGGATCTCTGCGGCGCTTACCAAATCTGCATTAACTTTGATTGAGTTAGTCATAAAAAAACAAGGCTTTATTTGGCGTTTACTCTCTTTTCTTTAGCAAACATGAAGGTCATTACTTGTGAAATAGTGTGGCATAATAAGGAGCCTGTTTACAGCTTGGACTTCCAGCACGGAGCTGATGGGAAGATCAATCGACTGGCCTCAGCAGGTGTGGACACAGCCGTTCGGGTAAGTTTTAAACCTGTTTGGTTTGGTTTCATAGTTTGTGCAGAGCGTGAAATGACTGGTAACCAAGACATTAGACTGTTGACCGGTGCATGACACTGGCTGTGAATGGTTTAAGGAGAGTGAGATTGTACAGCTAAATAGGAGATTCCTGTTATCCTTGCATACTGTCCTTGAGTTTTGCTTCTGTCTGTTGCATTGTTATTCTTAGAAAACTGCCTTAGTTGATTGTTGGATGATAACTCTCAGTAGAAACTGCTAATTTAGGTCAAAATCTTATAGGGTAGTGAGAAACAACTAGGTTTAATCTTTCTTTGGTCATCAAATTTGAATTCTGTCTGCCATTTTAGAAGTCGCTCAGCAGTATGAAGTCTTTCTATAGCCCTTTTCACTCAGCTTCAGATGCGCCTCTGCTGAGTGAATTTGTGTTGGTGCTAGCAAACTTTGCAATCAGTTGTTCATGCTTTTGAGAATCACTTATGAAAATGCTGAATAGCACAAGCTTTAAAATATGCCGCTGTAGCATTCACTTTTGCAAAATCAGGCAGTTGTTTACTATCTTCTAAATTCTTAATGCAAGGACTGTTCCCATCATCCAGTGATCTGTTGGTTTCTCTAAAAGCCCTGATTGGTAAGCTTTGGGAAATTGAGTGCAATGCATAAACCATGTTCTTTATATCTGGATGTTGGTTAGCTCCTTTAATAAAGTTAATGGCCAAGCAAGGCATGATTTCCTTGCAGAGAAATACATTGAATTTATTTGTCTATTTAGTTAACAGCTTCTCTGTATGGAAGGTAGACATAGTGGTCACAAATATGCCAATATTTGTTAAAGTATTTATTAACAAATTATTACGAATGATAACTGCTATGATACGTGTATGACTACAATTCCTCTTTTGGAGATGGTAAAGAGGATAAATGTGATTAAAAATCAGGGGGTTATTCCAGTAGACGCAGCCAAAATTTTTCCTTCCCTCACTGGCAGATTGACTTCTTACCTGGTGCTGTATGCATTTCAGGGATTTTGGCTATATAGTTTACTGAGTATATATTCATGCTTATACGTATACATATTTTAGGGCCTGAAAAATTTCAGTCATCTTTGACATGAAAGATTCTGCTGCTGTATCTTCTTTTGGAGGACCATTGCATGAAGAGGGAAAACTGGCAAAAGTTACGGAGGTTTTAATTAATGCTGTTTCATTGTTTGGTATATTCCTACCATGGCCTAATTGCTATCTTGTTTTCTGTCTTGGTTTGTTTTACTCAGCTGAGACTGCACCCAAGACTAGATTATTTGAAACACCTAATGGGATTTAGTTATCTGTGCCTTAGTCCCAAAATACAGAGGCATAACAATGTTGCTGTCATGGCTGAACCAGTGCCCAAGTAGAGCAGTAGGAGTGGCATTATTATGCACTGCAAAATTGAGAACAAGTGGGATCAGGAATTCTTAAGCCAGAATTGCTGGAAAAGTGTCTGTATATGAAACTGTCATAATGCTGTCATTATGATCAGTGGCAAACTGGAATTATAATTCTTGCTCAAATCTGTTTGAAACCAGTAAATCCATTGGCCTTTGTGATATACTGCAAAGCTCAGATTTCTGAAGGGAGCTAATGTGTTTTTCTCCTGTAGTAATCAGGGTTTCTTTTTTCAGACTGTTACAGTTTGTGGTTGACAGATCTGTTAATAATACAGTGATTTAATAGCATGGAATTACAATATATTTATAGGCTTGTCAGATACCTTTGAAGCTAGAGATTGTTGATGAATGAAGACAGAGTGGTATTATGTGTTTGGTTGTCTGTTGCTGTGTTTTGGGTTGTTGGGTGGTGTTTCTTTTTTTTTCAATTTATTGAAAATACTCAGTAATATATTTCATCACACTAAAAAAACCTGCAATATAATTACAGCTTGTGGTGATTGACCCTGGCTGGCCACCAGGTGTCCACCGAGCTGCTCTGTCACTCCCCTTCCTCAACAGGACTGGGGGAGTGGTACAATGGGTCGAGTTAAGGATAGGGGGATCACTTACTAATTACTACTATGGGTGAAACAGACTCAGCTTAGGAAAATTAATTCAATTTATTGCGAATTCTCATCAGAGTAGGGTAGTGAGAAATAAGAACAAAACTAAAAATGCCTTCCCCTCATCTCTCCCCTTCTTCCAGGTTCAACTTCACTCCTGACTCTGCCTCCTCTCTCTGAGCAACACGGGGGGATGGGGAATGGGGCTGTGGTCAATTCATCACATGTCTCTCCTTCTCCTTCATCCTCACGGGTGTACTTCTCACACTCTTCCCCTGCTCCAGCATGGGGTCCCTCCCATGGACACAGTCCTTCCCACATGCTGCTGTTCTTCATTAACTGCTCCAGTGTGGGTCCTTTCCACAGGGAGCAGTCCTTCAGGAACAGGCTGCTCCAGCGTGGGTCCCCCATGGGGTCCCAGGTCCTACCAGCAAACCTGCTCCAGTGTGGGCTTCTCTTCATGGGCCACAGTTTCTCCCGGTAGCCTGTTACAGCATGGGCTGTCCTCATGCTACAGCTTCCTTCAGGTCACATCTACCTGCTCTGGCATGGGGTCGTCCACAAGCTGCAGTGTGGGTATCTGCTCCTCCAGGGACTTTCATATGCTGCAGCGGGACAACTTCTGTTACCAGCAGGGGCATCTCAGCTCCATCACCTGGAGCACCTCCTCCCCTCCTTCTCTGACCTTGGTGTTTACAGAGCTATTTCTCTCACATTTTTCTTGCTCTTTTCTCATAGCTGTTGTGCAGTGTTTTTCACCTTTCCTTAAATGTGTTATCACAGAGGTTCCATCTCTGTGGAACAAAGGTAGTGTCTTTGAGCTGTCTAGAACTCACCCCTGAAGCCTCTCCCAGATATCAAAACCTTGTCATATACACCTAGTACACAGCTGTAGCTCATAGAGGGAAAATTTATGTTACAACTGCAGCTTTAGCTATGAAAGTTTCAGATAAGTTCAGAAAGACTGCCCAAGGAATAAATTGTGGATTAATGTGGTGCATATATATTACATCTTGTTCCTGAAAACTGTTTGTAATGCTTCTTTAACTAGATATGGAAAGTGGAAAAGGGACCAGATGGAAAAGCAATTGTGGAATTCTTATCCAACCTTGCCCGCCATACAAAAGCAGTAAATGTTGTGCGCTTCTCTCCAAGTGGTGAGATCCTAGCATCTGGAGGAGATGGTGAGAGCTGCTTTTTGTGTGTCTTACGTGAGAGAATTGTAATGTTGAACTAAATGTAATGCATTAATGAAATGGTGACTGGGAAAGAAAGAAGCTCCTTATGATTTCTTCTACAGATGCTGTTATTTTATTGTGGAAGCTGAATGATAGCAAAGAATTGGAACCATTGGTTTTTCAGGAAGAAGATGAAGCTCAGCTCAACAAAGAGAACTGGGCAGTTGTTAAAACTTTAAGGTAGCTTAATATTTTATTAGTTTTTCTATTCAGTGTTTTTGATTCTCCAGTGTTTTTTATCATCTGGTACAGACTTCTCTTCAGTGGATGTAGAACTTAAGTGCCCTCTAAAATTTTCTTGCTGTAATACTCATCCTTTTATTGTATTTAACTTTTATTGTTTTGATAGAGCACCAACCTCTGTCTTCTGTTAAGGCAGAGTTGGCATTTGTGTGACATAACTGATGTGCTTTGAAATTGGTTCCTGAGGGTTACAGTCACTGAAAGCTTAGCACAGAGATATATAAAATAAGCGTGGAGTTTTATTTAGCTTTATAGTGGAAATTTTGATCATTATTAAAGCAAAAAGTGTCAGATGAAATGATTAATGACATTTTGCCAGATGGTAGCTGTGAGGGTTGACTAGTCTTTTTCAACTAATGCACATTAGTAGTTAAATCTACTGCATTATACAGCTTTTGTTGCAAGTGTACGATGATAGAATATACACACTGTGCCTAAGACTAATTATTAGCTGATAATGGTAATACATCAAACCACCACTGGCAGTTGAATTACGAGAGTGTTCTGTTCTCACTCTCAGCTGAAGTCTGAAAGAAATTAGTGGTTCTGGACTCAGAAATGCATTTTGAATGAGCAGTATGTACGACACTGCCTTGCTTTCTGTGTAGTACCTGGTTAAGAGGTTTGCTCTGTACCTGTCTATACTGATAAAATCATTACAGATTTATAAGTAACTCTGCTATCCACAACTGATATTTTGATAGCAACTGCTGAGGTTTACGTGAGAGTAATTTTGAAAGTGCTAGTGGGATTACTTGAAGCACCAGTGTGATCCTTTAGGAACATTAGAGTTAATCTCTTAAAGCAAACAAACCTAGTCCCCCTTCTCTAAACTTAGTGTTCCAGATATTTATTACTGAAGTTACCACACTGCATGATAAGTCTTCAGACAACAAGAAATAGAAATTGTTTTGATGGAGCCCTTCTGGCTGCTTCTGAATATGTTGCAACGTTTGTTCAACTGCATCTAAATTAATCTTAACTTTCCATGTTTCACATGACTCCACTGAGTATGAATGTTTGTTTACTGCTTTTATGAAACCCATAAAAATGCAGGAAATTTTCTTGAGTAGTAGCACTTCCTAATTGCTTGGGTGTAGTATTTTATCTTCTGTTTGTACAAATCCTAGCAATGTTTGTTTCTGGATCTGTAGGTATAAATTCATAAATGACTTCAAATATGGGGGTTTCATTATCTTTGAAAAAGACCTGTTTAAAAGGCAGGCTTGTTTTAAATAGTAGGATGTGCTTTTTTAAAATGTTCTTCTACCTTCTGCATGTGGAAGCATTTTTTAAAAGCTGAAAGTCATGCTGTTCATTTACTTCAGTGATGCTTTGTTTGCCTCTGATTGCTTTTAACCTAAAAATGCATAAAACTCATGTTTTGTAGCTGTTAATTTTTTGGTTAAAAATTGGTTTCTTCTCTTCTGCCTTCAAGAGGCCACTTAGAAGACGTGTATGATATCTGTTGGACATCAGATGGAAATTACATGGCATCTGCTTCTGTAGATAACACAGCTATAATGTGGGATGTCAATAAAGGTAAATGCTATGTTTTATCACTTCTGTGTCTTCAGTCCTGGTGGAAGTTCCTGATGGTATTTACCAAAAGAGTTGAAAGTGTCTTTTTTTGTGATTGTTAGGTTTCTAGGATTGTGAGGCAGATAGCCTAGCATATAGATATATCCTCAGGCCAGCAAAACTTACAGTTTCCCTCTAAAATAAACTCCTACGCAATACAATAACATGAACTCCTATACAAGCAACTTGTATATTACTTACTCCACCTCAAGCCCCTACAAAGAAACAAAACTTGACTGGTATCAGGTAACTACCTACCTATGTAAAAAATGGGAAGCGAGTATAGCATGAAGTCTTTGTTTTACACAATATGACTTATTTTTTTAGGCTACATTAGGCAAAACACTTCTGTTCATTCTCATCCTAGTGGAGTGAGATTGCTTATATTTTCCACAAAGGCCAGTCTATAGAAGTTCTGGTAGTAACACCTAGGATAGGTTGCTTTACGATGGCTTGACGTTCTCTTATTAGCAGTGTTATTGTTACATTCACTTTTAACTTAATGTGGAAATACTTAACTTTCTCTAAAGTTAACCTTTTCTCTCACATTTCTAATATTTAATGTCTAATTAAGAAAAATAAAATAGAATCCAGGTTAATTTTTCAGTGCACACACACATGAAAATACAAATGTTCCACTGCTGAAATTCTGTGTTCTTGGTTTGGGTGTCTGATGTTGCTCCCATTTAAACAGGTACACATACTCCTTTTCAAATGTCTTTAATAAATACATGAATATGCATTTAAGAGAGTGTGTGCTTAGAGCATATGTGTAGTGGCATTGTGACCAAATGTCTCTTGCATCTCAGACTGCTTGTAACAACTTTAAAGGCACATATCTATTAGAATTATTACTAAAAAAAGCTCAATAGCCTCTTAAGCTGGTATGTTATTTATGTGTAAGGTCTTCCATTCTCACTGCTTTCTTTTAGCATGCAGTTAATGCCATAGAGGGCATTTTGTGCCTTCTAGGCAGAGACACAAATAGCAAGCTGGAAGTAAGCATCCATTACTGGAAAATGTAGGCTCTGTAATTGGAAATTGTACATACATGAAAGGAAGGAGATTCAGGGATAGCTTCCAGTAATACCCAAGCTAAAAGCTTGCATGGTTTTTAAAAAATGGCTGGAAGAAAATTAATAATAAAAATCCATAGGGCTATTCAGTACAAATAGAGTATCACTGGCTTAAGTCCTTGAGGTACAAACTGTTGGCAGCTTACAGGCTTTTCTAAATGACAGAGGTTTTGAAATACTTCTGTTTTGAAATATACTTACCTTGCATATTTAAGGCCTAAGCCAAGCTGCTTATCTGAGTAAGTTTGTAGGGAACAAGCCTTAAACTGGCATGTCACAATATACTGCAGTTGTGAAGATTCTAGAAATAAAGCAACTATTTCTGATATTCTTATCAGGTGCTATCAAGTTAAAAGTTTCATTAAAAAGTGTTTTCTCTACATGTTTTAATATTTTGTTTTCTTTCTTGATATGAAGAAATGTTTAAAAACACATTGATCTTAGAATCTGAAAACTGTTTGTAATTGCAGGACAGAAGGTTTCAATATTAAATGAACACAAGAGTTATGTCCAAGGGATAACATGGGATCCTCTAGGCCAGTACATTACAACTCTGAGTTGTGACAGGTGAGCTATTGGTCTATGTGTTTTGCCTTAATATTCTTTCTTACTTGAGGATGAAATAAAAGCAAATGTACAGGATAAATCTGACTTTTACTTTAGTTTTATTCAGATTATTCCTGAAGAAATTTGATGTGAAAGTAAATTGATAATTTAGTTCATCTTTTGCTTATAGTAAATGATTTCTGAAGTCTAAGTGGTGTCTCTAAGTATCAAATAAGATTGTGTAAACTTCTGTAGAAATTTTTCTTCACAAAATAAACTTCCATGAGTTTGATCATTACAGATACCAAATATTTCTTAAGAGGGTGCTGCATTCTCTGGTTGTTTATGAGCTAATAAGTTCATCCTTGTTTTACAGAAAGGTATAAACAGGTTATTAAACAAGTTAAAATTGTTTTCCACTGATATCTCTCTTTCACCCTCTCCCTCCCTTCATCCCCAGCAGTTTTCTAAGTGATGTCATTGGGAAAGCTAAACACACACATTATGAACTTGGCACTTATCAAAACTTTAAATAAGCTTAAACTGTTTAGAGCATGTGTGCTGCTCTGAAGGGGTTCACAGCTGGCTAATAAATGCACGTGATCTGGCACCCGTTGCAAAGAAAATTGCTGTAATAATGAAAAAGTAATATTGATTTAAGATTCGCAATAGGGTCAGAAAAATTATAAGTTAATGCCAACTAGGTCATTATGAGTCTTGGTCTTCCGATAATCTGTTGTGTGAGATTTCTGTGCTTTTATTAAAATGAACAGCAGTGAAACACAAATAATAGAATAATACACCAGTTTTTGTCCTGGAGCGAAGTTGCAAGCAAGGTCACTTGCTAACTTGCTGACTAATCTGAAGAGGGGAGATTTCCCACCTCTTGAGGTTTCAGATACTTTTCTGCAAGACTAGTGAATAGCTTCGGCTCAGTGGGGATCTAACAGGAGCCAGGCCAGTTGCCAAGTTTGAGTGCTCCTCAGCCCAGGCTGGGGAGACCTTTTCCCCCTTTTGCCAGACCAGCGTATCTTGTGACATTCAGAAACTGGTAGTTCCACAACTGCCTCAAGCTGCATGCCACAGCCTTACCTTCTATTTTTTATTCCTAACCCTATACAGTATTCTGTCTGGATCAGCACGTTAAGTTGGCAGAAAGCTGTCCGGTTTCTGTGTTAGGTTGGTTTTCTGCCAAGCCAGCATAATTTAGTGAAGGTCAGAGCTGACAGAAAAGAGAGGGTGGTGAGACAAGCAGTTGCATTCACTTAGACTACCTGCTGTCTTAGTGAGATGGAGTCAGGGAGTTCCAATGTTCTGTACAGAGATGTACTCCAGTTTACATTCATTCCAAAGGAAACCAAAGCGTAGAGATGTAGCTAAATTGTCTTTGAAGTGAGTTTCCACTCTGCAGAAACATACTGGCTACTACAACAGAGGTAGGAATGGGGTGGCAATTCACTGTCTGCTAATTTCCTCATTCCTCTCTGAATGCATAAGCTGCTACTTCACAAACCTTATTGAGTCAAATAATTGCTAGCAATGCCTTGATTATTTAGCCATCAAAGCGTGTCCCTCTGGTAGTGTCTCATGAACAGAATCATAATTAATGTGTGATTATCATTTATATTTGACGGTTCTGACTGAGAAGTGAGATCCTGCAGTGTTGTGTGAAATTTGGGGAGAAAGGAAGATGTTCCTCACTAACTGTACTCTCTATCGTGTAGGGTCCTGCGGGTATACAACACGCAGACCAAGCGTGTAGCATTCAATATTACCAAGATTGTATCTGGATCAGGAGCTGAAGGAGAGGTACATTGTTCTACTAATGGTTCTGGGGAACGTGTTGGGTGCTGTTTTATATAGTTGTTCTTTTCTGTGAAACCAAAGGCACAAATGTTTTCCATTCAGGTAATCTGTATATCAGACATTTTTGTCTCTTATCTCATCTTTGCATGTTATAGATAGAGACTGATGCAGGTTTCCTGGAACATTACAGAAATGACTAAGAAAGTGCACTGCCTGCTGCTATTGATCTCTTGCAAGTTCAGTGGTTTAAAATAGTAACAAAATGTATTTGTAAATATTAAAAATAGCATGGAAAAATAGTATGCATAGTGAATTCTTATGGGGCAAACTTAAAATATGTCTTGCAGAAGCTTTAAGTTTATTAATGGTTATGATATAGCAAGAGTATTTTAAAGTCAGCAGCCTGAAGTTTTTAAAAAGGTAGTCTGATTTTTTTAGGAAAAATATGAACTGTGGAAAACTTAACAAAATTTTATCTTACTCAAGGAGGTAAAACAAAGAGCTGTTTTGTCCAAAACAGTTTTAAGTAACAGTAAAAAACACCACCAAGCTGGCTATAACTTTTTTAATTCCTTCTATTCCTTTTCTCTTTTTTGTAAAAAACATTTGTAACAGTGTTATAGAGACTAAAGAACAGGCCTGAGAGAGAGCATTTTGATGTAAGATCTCTTTAAACCTCTAATACTTAAAATTAAATGTTAAAGAGCAGGCTTTTACATTGACTGTTAAAAAATGTTGTTTTCCAGGTCACTACTATTTTTTAATCACTGCTCTAATGTGACTGCTTGTGGGTGTTTTGATTAGTAGCTGAAAAGGGATCAAGAACTATTTTTCTTAGCTGTGAAGAATTTATAGCACAGCAGAAAGTGAGTTTGAAGGAGCCAGTGTTTTTTTTAAAACATTTATTTTAGAAGTTCCGTCGAGTTACTGTACAACTGGATGGCTTCTCTCACTTGAATTCCAGCTGAAACATTCATGGCGTTTTACACAATCTATTTTCAATGTTACAGGCTAGGAGCTATCGGATGTTCCACGATGACAGCATGAAGTCATTTTTCCGCAGGCTCAGTTTTACTCCTGATGGCTCCTATTTACTCACTCCAGGTATGTGAGAACGTACACTATAACTTACATTGTGTCCATTATGCTCTTAGTTTGAACATGTGTCAGGATTGGTTTCAAACTGCTAGGGAATGCTTATTTATCTTAATTAAGCCATTCCTCAGTCTTCTTATTGAAGAAAATAGAGACTTTACAATATTCTTCTGTTAGCAGTTCAGAATGTCAGCTTTCTGCTGTGATAAAAATAATATTTATGGCATTTTTCTGTACTGAAACATGTAAATTGCAATAATACAGCTCTGTTAAAATAGAAATGAAGAATAATGAGTAGTTCTTTTTGACTGGTCTCTCTTTGTTTGTATCCTTTCTTAAGAACACTCTGCAGTTATAGTAAAAATAACATTGCAAGGAGGGGATCAGTTTGCCCATATAAGCATTGCTTTTATAGATGTCTGACAACATCAAAAAGAAGCTTTGACGGGGAGCTCTGTAAGGAAAACAAAACCAGCACTAAATAAACATTTGGGATATTTTTAAGTTGTGTTCAGGTTGCACAGCTCTTGCCCAACTGACAAGCCTAATTCCTGAGAAGTAGAATGTTTATGGACATAAAGTGTGTACCCAGTACCCTTTTGAGTAGATGAGTAATGTTTTAACCTTTATTTTTGCAGCTGGCTGTGTTGAATCAGGAGAAAATGTAACAAACACCACATATGTTTTCTCCAGAAACAATCTTAAAAGGTAGAGATTAATAAGATGAAAATATATTTTTATATAAGAAATAAAATTGCAATGTTGATTTTTAAAATACTGATTCTTTATAAAAGGCCTGTGGGTCACCTGCCATGTCCTGGAAAAGCAACTCTTGCTGTTCGCTGCTGCCCAGTCTACTTTGAGTTGAGACAAGCATTTAATAAAGGTACTGTAAATCCTTTAGGGAGTATGATTTTGCAGCAAATATGTGAAGAGGCCAGTGTGGCTGCTTACTGTTTTATGTCCTAGCCTTTTAACACTCCATTAAGATAGTGTTTACCACATCTTAGAAGCTTTTTCTTGACTCTGAGATGCTGAATTCACCTTAAGTACCTTGTGAGTAGCTTTTGATATAGTGGATAAATGTTCTTACTTAGCCTCTTAGGCTACACTAACACTGCTTAATATTAAACTTTTACTGTTTAGTGTAAGTAAAGGTAAATAACTTGGCTTAGCACTAAAGGAGTGACCCACTGAAATATTTTCTGTTAGTCTCAACTACCCACATCACAGAAGCACCAGAGAGTTGGTACAGTTTGCAACAACCATCGGTGTTTATTGAAAAAAGCCAAACTCAAAGCAATGTTGGTATTATTGGCCAGAACAGGAGTTCTGAGGATGGGAAAGGATTGTATGAAGTTGCATGGAAACTTACCTGAAAATTGAAATCCAGCCTTACTGTGAGACCAGTGTGTCCAGGAGTGTTTATATTTTAAGAGGACTGGTCTTTGATCAAAAGGCAGAGCTTTGCATCTTTCATTACAGGATCATTTTCCGGTATTCCTTAAAGGATTTAGAGATGACCAGTTGTTGTGTTCTCTATTTTCATCATAATCTTTAGATTCGTTGTAATGGTGTGTTGCAAAGAAAGGAGGTGCGTGTCTGATGCAGGCCTCTGTGACACATCTAAATGGAATGCTTAGTTTCTGCAACGTATACTCAGAAAAGTGAAAACCTTTGGTAGTCTAGAAATCTAGAGTTGTGACGACCTTATGTTATATTAATTTTAATGGCTTTAGTGCATAGCTTCCATAATCATCAGGAGCCCTATATACTGGAAATTTCTGAAAGCAGGTAGCTGGCATGCAGCTTCTGCTGGAAGCTGGAATAATCTGGCCTTAAAAAGAAGTAATTTTGCAATGAAAAGACTAGTTAGGAGCTGAACCCAAGGTAACACAAATAGTGCTAAATCCATTGTTTTGACTGAGTTGTACAGAATATAACGCAGTGGTATAAATTTATTGTGACCTTGATTTACACTATATTCTGAGGTGTGTTTGTTTGGACTCTAGTCTTAAAGTTGTTATGAATATGCTGAAAAATTCCACCTGGAATATATATGACAAACTTCACAAAACAAAGCAATAAGAATCCATGTGGACAAAGCTGCTGATTTCTCTCTCTTCAGCTAAGACAATAGAGGGAAAACTTCAGACAAGAGAAATGTTAGTACTTGACGTTAAACTTTACTTTTTATAGAAGTGCTCTCTTCTGAGCTATTATCTCGATACTGATTAATGTAATCTTTAGGTTCATGGCTAAGCTACTGCAGTTGCTACCTTTCAATGAATGCAAAAAATTCTTAGTGTGTTAATTCCTTTGCATTCTAGATGGAATTGGTCAGAAATCGTCTCCAGCTCTGTTTGATCTGCCCTATCGACTGGTGTTTGCTGTTGCTTCAGAAGATTCTGTGCTTTTTTATGATACTGAGCAGTCCTTCCCCTTTGGTTATGTTTCTAACATACATTATCACACCCTGAGTGACATTTCATGGTAGGCAATTATGTTCCTAAGATCTGTTGTGATGCGGGAAATGTCCTTTTTATGTGTTGAAGTTCTGCACAGCATCTTGCGTCTTGTATTTTTATTTCATTTATGATGCATGTGTGGTCACTGTCATTGCAGTGTGTGAAGAGCAAGCCGCTTCTTTTTTTCCCTGTAAACCAGGGAATTGTGGTTCTTTATCTGCTGAGAACCAAGGTGCAAATCCTGAGGACAAGCAGATGGAAATTTTTATGAAAGCTATTGCTCTAGGTGTCCATGGAAAGTAATCATTGTTCAGGCAGAGGTTTTGGAAGTCATCTCTCTGAGTTTAGGTGTCTGTATCCTGGCCAAATTCTGCTTTATCAGGACAGTTCTGCTCAGTGGTTATTCATTTAATGGATGAAATAATTCATCTGACTTGATGTGGTGGATCAGAACTGAAGCTGAAAATTGAACCAGTCTTACAATCGGGACACACCCCTCTGCTGGACAAGGCTTCTTTTCTCATGCCTTTCTAGCCAATATAACTAAGCTGAGGGCCACACTGAGGCCTCTCTTTCAGAGTTCTAATTGATGCTCAGCACTGCCAAAATCATGGTGTGTCAGGAAAAGGGCAGTGGAAGAGAACAGAAAATCAAGTGGTTGTAATCAGTGATAGGTAGACATTGCTTGGTGAAATAAGCATAAAGAGCCCATTCAGGTGAGCACCATGGTGATCTGAACATTGCCTCTCCTTAGTGCTAGGAGCAGAGCCAAAGAGCTTGAATTGCTCTGCTGGTCTGAAGAGGAGAGTTCAGCAATATTTCGGAAACCGTGACTAAATATTTGTGTATCTGTGCGTACAGGTGCTGGCAGCAGCATGTTACAGGTGATCACAGATGACACCAGAGGGATTAGATCACAGGCAAAAGCCAGAATTGAAGATCTTTGTTCAGTTGGATTGGATGTCTTTCATTTGACTGCAGTTTTATTAAAATGTATGCATGTATTTGGGGATGGGAGGAGGAAAAGACAGGTACAGCATGTGTTACAGGTACAGGGATGAGGACTGAAGGAAATTTCTGACCTTGACTCTTAATGGGAAAAAAAAATCCCAAATAGGTCCAGCGATGGAGCCTTTCTTGCTATCTCTTCCATGGATGGATACTGTTCATTTGTTACCTTTGAGAAGGATGAACTTGGAATACCACTGAAGGAGAAGCCACAGATCAATGTCAGGACTTCTGGTGTAACAGAGAAGAAAGTGAAGAAGAGCCAGCCACACAAAGTCATTTCCCCAGGTTCTAGGCTGACAGAAGCATCTCCTCCTAGCAGGGTCACTGATCCCAGCACTGTCACTCTCCAACCTAGAACACCCACAGCTGCTGGTAAGGACTTGCCTTCCACACCTGTTGTTGTAAAAAACATTCCAGTCTCATCCTCTGATGAGAGGAAAATCAGCCAGTCAGCCAGCCAGGGTGCTAAAGCAAACCAGCCCAGGAGAATTACTCTCAACACTTTACAAGCATGGAGCAGGACACCAAGGTGAGATTTATGTTGCCGTTTCCAGTTATAAATACTGACAGGCTGAGACAGGCTGTGCTTGTGCTACATTTAAAGGTTGAGATGGTGTCTTGGTGGTAGCTTTCTTGACATGGTATTTTTTGTTCCAGTTGTATTGCAACTGGAAGGTCAAAATGTCTCCCGGATCCTAGTAGCGAAGTTAACCTGACCCTTATGTCTTGTCCATATGACAGTGACAGGTGTCTGTCTTCAGGTTCCATTTTCAGTATGAGGATGGTACCTGAAGTCTTCAGTTGATGAGAATCATTTAAAGACTCTTCTGACAGGAAATATTTTATGAAGAGTGCAAGTCTAGACAGTGCTTCAGTGTGCTCTGTCATGGGTGTGAGACTTCGTGCATTGATTGAGGTCACTTCCTAAGTCGAAGATCTAGGTTTTTAGAAATTTTCTGTAATCTATGTACTGATTGTCAAACAGCCTGCAATATAAGACCCTGAACTGGTGTGCATCAGTGAGGGGACAGACATGCAAAACAAGGCTATTTTAGTGCTGAAGGAGATTATTATAGCTTCTCATAGGAATGTTTTAATTAGTAGGTGGCTAGAGAGGAAGTGGTGAACAAGAAAGCAGAATAGTGGATTTGATCAACAGCTGCAAGGAAAATCTTGGAGATGATGGCTTTCTACACACCAGTGTTCGTCTGTACTGGAACTAACAAGTCAAAGGGCTGTAGGTAGATCTAAGCAACTTTTTCCTGGAGGGTGGGGTGACAAATGGAGCTAACCACTTTAAGAGAGAGAAACGTATTTAATCCTATCAACTGATTATGCCATGGGTGTCATCTTCTACTGGCATGTATGGTGTTACTTGCAAGGCTTTTTTTTTTTTTTTTTAATGGTTCAATCCTCTGCCACTTTTGTGCTTAATTTTTAAGTGCCATCCAAAAGAGATGTAGCAGAAGAAAATAAATTTATTATTGGACCTTGGTGGGCAAAAGAATTCCCTGCAATTTTATGAATCTAAAGTGGACAGGGCTAGGGAATAGTAGTGCAGACAGTCTTAATTTTAAAATACTTGATCAGGATACTGTGCTCTGAAGGTGAATATCAAGCGAAGCGCCATATAAACTATGCAAGAGTACTTTCTAATGGGAAAGATCACTAGTGGTATTCAGAGTACTTCTGAAAAATGTTCTATTTATCATATAGCAAGAAGAAAAAATGTACAATATATCTAAACTACATTAAAATTAAGCTGATTCTATATGAAGTAAACCTTTAAATAAATCATTTATGGAAATAATGCCTTTAAAGCAATTGAACTCTTACTACTCTTTTAAAGGAGAGTCAACTTGATTCCACTGAAGGCAGATACGCCAACCCCTGCAGATGCAGTTCCTATAGCTCCTTCCTCAGAACAAGAAGATGGTAAGTTCTGTTACTTGCATTTGTGGCTATTAATATGCAGCAGTCTTTTGCCAGTCATCCTTTTTATTATAGACTTAATAAGCCTGTAACACAAGCATAGTCAAGCACAAACCTAAAACTAGTTGCAGATTCTAAAGCTTCATCATTGCCCTGGAGTATTTGAAAGCTTTTGATAATATGGTGTGTTCTCACTGTGGTTGCTCTTGGGCAGCTGTGTGACAGTATGTCAGTTTTTGGGTAATTCCAGGCACACCTACAGATTGGGTGGAGAAGAGATTCAGAGCAGCCCTGCAGAGAAGGACTTGGGGCTGTTGGCAGATGAGAAACTGAACATGAGCCAGCTTCAGTGTACACTTGCAGCCCAGAAAGCCAACCATATCCTGGGCTGTATCAAAATGAGCGTGACCAGCAGGTCGAAGGAGGTGGTCCTGGCCCTCTGCTCTGCTCTGCTCTTGTGAGACCTCACTTGGAGTATTGTGTGCAGTTCTGGTGTCCTCAACATAAAGAGGACCTGGAGCTGTTGGAGCAAGTTCAGAGGAGGGCCATGAGGATGATCAGGGGTCTGGAACACATCCTGCATGAAGACAGGCTGAGAAAGTTGGGGCTGTTCAGCCTGGAGAAGAGAAGGCTGTGTGGAGACCTCATAGCAGCCTTCCAGTATCTGAAGGGGGCCTACAAGGATGCTGGGGAAGGACTTTTTATTAGAGACTGTAGTGACAGGACAAGAGGTAATGGGTTCAAACTTAAACTGAGGATGTTAGGTTAGGTATAAGGAAGAAGTTTTTTACTGTAAGGGTGGTGAGGCACTGGAATGGGTTGCGCAGGGAAGTTGTGAATGCTCCATCCCTGGCAGTGTTCAAGGGCAGGCTGGATGGAGTCTTGGGTGACATGGTTTAGCATGAGGTGTCCCTGCCCATGGCACGGGGTTTGGAACTAGATGATCTTAATGTCCTTTCCACCCTAACTATTCTATGATTCTGTGATTAGATGACATTGAAACTGAGAAGAGTAAATTCACTTGGTTGTAATGTTCTCCAGGTTCTACACGTGTGTTTTAAAGACTCTTAAGTTTTCAGCACACCATAGTTCAGTGTGCTGGACACTCAAACCGGGGTTGGGGTGGTGTGATTTTTGTGTTGGGTCTTTTGTTTGTTTGTTATTTTTTGGATTTTATTTTTGTGTGTGTTTTGGGGTTTTTTGTTGTTTTTTTTTCTTCTTTTGGTTGGATTTTTTTCTGGTGAGTGGTGGTGAATTGTTCAGCAGACCAATTTACTTTGTTAATCTGGATTTACTTAGCTTAATGATTTTGCTATCTTCCTGTTTCAGAGAGGCCTTTACCATCTGATGACAGCCTTCAAAAGCCCCCAGCATCGAAACGTCCTAGAACTGAGGATGTGGCTCTTTCTACATCTACTGAAGATCAAATTGTCTGTAATTCAAACAGATAAAGACTAAGCTTTTAGTAGACTCTTCACAGTCTGAAGGAGATGTGCATCTGAGAGTGCATTTCTTTTTGCAAATGTGAAATTCTCAATTCCTGATTAAAGTACCATCTGTGTATTTGACGTAGTGCTGTGAAGAAAGTGTCAGTAGAAGGCACAGGGTTCAGGAAGGTGGCTTTGCTGAGGAAAAATGAATTGGGAAGTCACTTTTAAGTTTTCCTACTTCTTGAATAAAGCATTCTTCAAGAAATGCCACTGCTTGAGGAAATTGAGGAAAATATGGCTATTGATTACTGTAACTGAAGAGTCTACATCAAAGTCCCAAGGTTGGTGTTTATAAATTGTCACATTTTCCAGTAGCCTGTCTGACAAAAGAATTGAGTTTCTAAGGACTTAAACACATTCCTAATGATTTGTTGTGGTTTAAGCCCACCCCCCCAAAAAAAAACATAAATCAGAACTTGTAACTGCAATTAGAAAACAAAGGGAAGAAACCCTCTGAAGACCTGTTATAAGCATTAAACAGTAGAAGAAAGTTCTGAATTGTTTAGTTTCTGTATTAAAAAGAAACAAAGCAAAGACATGAGATTTCCCTGAGGCAGCAGGATTTGAGCGCATACATTAGACGTTTCCCCCTTTCCTTTTTTTCCAAATCTTAACTTCTTCAGTCAATACAATACAAGTCCAGTTATGTTAGACTTCTAAAAGTTGATTTCTTTTTAGCATTTCATACTTGGACTAAGCATTTAAAAACTGAGCTAAGACCTGCAGATTGAAAACAGTGAGACCAACATATCTGAAAATCACTACACTGGATTTCCTGTGGTGTGCAGACAGCCTTCCCAAGTATTCTGAGCTCATCCACTAAATTTTCTGTAACATCATGGACTTGATTTTAAAAAGATAATTGTTAAAATGTGGATAGTCATTCTGGTTGATGCTAGCATGTGGAAGTTTTAAGCAGATTTTTTTCTCGTAATTTAGGCTATTATTTGAAGTTCCACAATGCACAGGAGGGAAAAGCTGGAATTCATTTTAAAGCTCGTTGACTTTCATTCTTCCCTGGGTATGTTTGGTTTTAAGGTGTGTAAGTTACTTATTTCACAGAGAGGAAACCCGTGTCAGGGTTTCAGGCAGATGAAATACATTGCCTACAATTAGATTTCAACAAGTTAATAAGCAGAAAGTTGTAAGACGTTAACTGTATCTTTGCCTTCAACCACTGAGAAGAGGATGGAGATTAAATAAACTTACCCAAACCTGGGTTTTCCTCTAGTGAGGAATGTAAAGGAAATTACCAAGCAAAGCCACATCTAAAACTGTTTTTTCACGAAAAAAAAATTTAGAGAGATACCTAAATTGAAGCTTGTAGAGATACCTGAAAATTGATAGCCAAAGCAAATAATTTGACTAATATGCATTGCTGCACTTGCTGTTTTATGTTTTGCCCAGATTGAGATTGCTATTTCCCCTTTCTGTATGCCAGTGACCCATTACTACAGTACTGCAGTGGGCTTTGTGCACTGCAAAGGATCCTTTGAAATGAAATTTACACTTCTGAATGCTAATTGCAAAGCTATCCTGATGTGTATTTTGAAATCTTGTTTAGATAAGGTTTTTGGGGGGGTTTTGGTTGGTTGGTTTGTTGTTTATTTTGGGGTTTTTTACACTATATTTCAATGTAAACTACTCTCTGCTCTTTCTGTTGAAAACAAGTAGGTTGGGTACATTATTATAGTGTTACTGGCATACCTGGTCTCTGTAGTCTTGAGTCTTCAGATGCAAATAATTGCCAGAGTATTCATCTTCATTTCATGCCGTAGCCATTCAGGTGATATCTATGTGTTGTTTCTTATGATTGCTCAGCTTATTTTCACTCTGCCTTGCAATGTAATTGGAGCTGTAAAGATAATGCGGCTTTCACTGCTGGAGACTACTTTCATATCTGATCTGTCAGAATGTGATACCTGATATTTCAACTTCCCTAATAGAAATTCCCTTTTTAGTACTAGTTGTCTCTTGCCACTATGATTTCCTATTTCTCTGTTCATTTTGTTACTTATTGGCTATTTGTCAAATATATATGGTACTAGGTTTTTAAACTTTTTCTATAACTGGATGCCATCTTTTGCATAATAAATTACTATCTTTAACACTGTGACAGTCAGAATTGTAGATTTGTTTTTTGTAATCTGTTTCAGTCTACAAAGGGCCATCCGCCCACATCATTCATATTTAAGACATTGAAAACTGTTCTCGCAGTGTTTCTAGAAAGTGGTTTCATGTTCTTTTTTTCTGTCATGCGCTAATTTCTGCTTCAAAACAGAACATGCCCAGTCTTATTTAAACTCTTTGCTTCATAAGGTAAAGTACAGCATAGACATCATTCTTTCAAGGGTGCTCTTCAGCTCAAGGTTTGACATAAATGTCATTTTTAATTGGCCATGTGAATTGTTTGTACTTCAAGTGGACCCTGAGTTCATATTCCAGCTGTGAATGCGGTATGTCACATTTTGCTCAGTGCTTTCTGCAAGGCTCTTAACCACTCTTGAGGACTGCTATGCTGCTTGTACTATCCTGATGAGATGGCATTATTGAAAAATGCCCTGTCTACGTCTTTCACCTTACAGCAGTACAAGCAGGGAGCTGAACTCACAGAATTAACTCATGTGAGAGGCAGCAAATTGCTGCCAAACTGGGAACCATGGAACTCGGGGGTGTCCAAGTGCTGCTCCTGTCAACACATTTGGTACCGTGTGTGTCAGTATCCCACACACCAGTCCCATGGGAAACCAGAAAAGGAGCAGTCACATAGTCATTTCTTCTGGCTGACAAAAGGGACTGCTTGAGCAGGGGGGTTGAACTAGATGACCTGCGGAGGTCCTGTCCAGCCTTCTAT